TGTTATTTCTTATTTGATCTCTGGTAAACCAATCATTGTTTAATAGCATGATTTAGCTTCCAAGTGTTTGAATTTTTTTATTGTTTTTATTGTAGTTTATTTCTAATTTTATTCTATTGTGGTCTGAGAAGATGCTTAGTATGAGTTCAATCTTCTTGAATTTAGGGAGACTTTGCTTGTGACTCGAGTATGTGGTCTATTTTTGAAAATGTCCCATGTGCACTTGAGAAGAATGTATATTTCATGGCTTTGGGGTGAAATGTTCTGAGGATGTCAATGAAGTCCATCTGATCTAGTGAGTCATTTAGGATTGCTGTTTCTTTGTTGATTTTTTGTCTAGAGGATTTATCCAGTGATGTCAGTGGGGTATAAAAGTCCCCTACTATGATTGTATTGTTGTCGATCTCTCCCTTGATATCATCCAGGAGTTGTTTTTTTATGTATTTGGGTGATTCTGCATTGGATGTATATATGTTTACCAGGGTTATATCCTCTTGTTGTATCAATCTCTTTAGTATTATGATGTCACCTTTCTTATCTCTTGTTATGTCCTTCACTTTGAGGTCTATTTTGTCATGTATAAGTATTGTTACCCCAGCTTTTTTTTCATTTCCATTTGCCTGGAAGATATTTTTCCATCCCTTCACTTTTAGTCTGTGTGAGTCCCTTGTTCTGAGGTGGGTGTCTTGTAGACAGAATATATATGGGTCATGTTTTCTTATCCATTCATCCACTTGATGTCTTTTGATTGGAGCATTTAGTCTGTTAATGTTTAAAGTTATTATTGGTAGGTACTTTTTTTGTAGCAATTTTTATTTTTTGTGCCTGTGTTCCTTCTTCCCCCTTTTGATTTTCTTCTTTATATACCAGTCTATCTATCTATCTATCTATCTATCTATCTACCTACCTGTCATATATCTTTCTATTCATCTATCTACCTATCTATCTACATATATCTCTATAAAAAGATATATAGCCTTACATAAATAGGCTTATACTTAAATAAATGTTTCTCAAAATATGGTTTGGTAAAACCACTAGCATCAGAACATCTCAGTCTCAGAGTTAATGAATAGAATCCCTCCATCTTAGGTTTTAGAGAGTCAATCTTCAACTTCCAATCTTAATCTTATCAGTTTCCATTTTTTAGGTAATAATAGTGCATAACAAAAAATAAAATAGAACAGATGTGCTTATAATCAGAGGCGCACACACAAAATTTCCTGTTTTTAGCTCTTCTGGTGGTTACCCCTAGAATGAAATAATATACCTGTACTTTATTTGATTTATTAATTTCAATAAATTATATTAATATTGTGAAAGAGACAGCCAGCTCTCCCTTTCCTTTTCTTCCCTACAGCCTCTCATTATGTTACTTTTAGTTCTTCCATTGGTTACATTAACAATTTAAATCTAAGTAATCCATCAGATGATTAGTATTTAGTCCTTAATTTCTTTACTAATATCCTAAAATAGGATAAGCCATATTTTCCAAGAAAAAACAATAATATGAATGAAAAATGAAAGGATATTATAGAAAATTAGAATATATTGGTAAAGTCCTGGGAAGACCAGACATAATAAGACTAAAGGAGTCAGGAGCGGCTTCTGTCATCTTTGCTCATTTGCTGTCTCTGAGCAGTTAGTGTGATGCTGCCTTCAGAGGCTGAAGCATAAAATCCTATCAGTATAGTACAAATTAGATTTATTTCTTCTTCCACAATACATTTGAAAAGTACTATTTTATGGCAGTTTCTAACAAGTATATTACTTAATGGAATATTTCTTTTTTTAAAAATCAGCAAAAACATTCTTAGCATTTATTGAAACTGTTTTTAAATTTTGATTGTTTAGATTTTTACTGTAATTCCTATTCATAAAACCATATTTATGTCTTACTAACAAAAGTCTTTTTATCAGATTTATGGAATGTACAATATTGACACAGTTCAGGCTATGGCCTTTGGTGGATGTTACCATGACAGCAAGAATGACTTTGACCAGACTTCCTTTTCTCTCCACGCTGAGGAAGTCTCCATTCCAGGAAGATTCACAGGCAGCCCTAGAGCAGGTCCATTCCAGATAAAGAGAAGAAAATGCCTGGGAGGGCATGTTGGTAGAATCATTCTGGTGTCATTGACACCTGTTCATGGATTTTAATTCCCGTGTATATATTACATTTAATTTGTTTTACTGGGGTATATACGTGTGAGGGAGAATCCCCAGTACATAAAACTTGTTTTAGAGTTAGAGTATATCAAACAACAACTGACTATGAATTGGACAGTACTAAGCGGAACTGAGAGTCAGCCAGCCACGGCTCCTGGCCTACAGAAGAGCAGAAAGTTGACTGATTTACTACATCCAGGAGCGTTTAAGGTCTTAAGAGGATCTGATCCCATAAATGAGAGTCACAGGCATACGTATTATGGAAAAACAATTTCTACAGGGAAGGGCGGTATAACTGCTTCATCTGGACCCTCCTTCTTTCTAAATGTAAATTTTCTGTATTTAACTAGGGAATAAAACTGGACTGTGACAATAACATAAGGGGACTTGGTTCCTTTATGGTAGCCAAGTGCCAAAATATCTGAGCTGAATCCTCCCAAGGAAGAATGTCAATATGAAGGTGTACTGAGGACACTCACACAGCTGAGATTCCTCAAAGACCTTCTCTCTATCATCTCCAGTCGTAGCTTTTATCCTATGGCATTGACACGCCTCTTATGTTATTGAGTCAAAGGGGTACAAAAAGCTGTAAACTTCGCTCAGTCTTCCCATCCCAATATTAAAGTAATATGTCACACTTCAATGGCAAGTTATATTTTGTAGTTAAGTATAGTTTTCATAGCTTTTAGAGGTATTTAATTAGTTACTTTTTTTATTGATTAAGGTATTACATATGAGTCCTTATCCCCCCATTGTGGAATAATATTTCTTAGATTCCCCCAAGAAATGTTTTGTATTTCATGACATATATTGTGACTTATATACTCTACAATGATTTTCATTAAAATGCAGTAAGCTGAACACTTTCATTTTTCCAAACTGTCATGATTTGAACTTTCCATAGGTCATCCAAGCATTTAATGATTCAGGTTTCCTCACTGACCACATTTCACTTTGTGTTTTGAGCAATCCAGGTGGGAGATGAGTAGGACCTTTCTGGCTAATTGAAGTCTTTGTTAACTATACTTGAGAAAAAAAAAATAATAGTCACCCTAGCCAATTTTGCTCAGTGGATAGAGTATTGGCCTACGGACTAAAGGGTCCCAGGTTTGATTCCAGTCAAGGGCATGTACCTTGGTTGCAGGGTTGCAGGCTGCACCCCAGCCTGGGCCCTAGTCTGGGCTCCTGCAGGAGGCAACCAACTGATGTGTTTCTCTCACATCAATATTTTTCTGTTTTTCCCGCTCTCTTCCACTCTCTAAAAATCCATGAAAGACATCCTTGGTGAGGATTAAAAAAATAATAATAATGCCCTAATGCCTTTCTCATATTTTATCTTATTTATTCCTTCATTTACCAACTTTTTTTTATTGTGTCAATTAATATATGCCACACGTTGGTCTAGTCACTGGAGAATAAAAATTTTAATGAAAAAGTGATGATGGCTACTCATCAGAGACCTTTTTATAGATTTTTATTTTAATTGAGCCAATGTATGTGTATGACTTCCCACAAAATATAAGCTACACGGGCCGTATAAATCTGTGACTCAGGAACAAGTTCTCTGAATGTTTCTTCATCTATGTAAGTAGTAGGATGCACTAGGTGATCTATGAGGAATCATATTTTATTGCATTATGTGTACTAAAGAATCGAGTGCATCTTTTTTTCTGCCCTGTCTTGGTGAGTTCCACTGCCCTATATTTTAGTCTTTTCATCTTTTCATTGTCTGCTGTTGAATCCCTCTTGTGTATCTTTCAGTTCAGTCATTGTATTCTTCAGCTCTGTGATTTCTATTTGGTATTTCCTTATAGTTTCTATCTCTCTGTTGAAGTTCTCACTGTCTTCATCCATTCTTCTCTCAAGTTCAGTGAGCATGTTTATGATCATTACTTTGAACTGGTTATCAGAGAGTAAGTAATCTATGTTTATGTTTTTAATTTATAGTATTTTTTTCATTAAGTTCTTTTTCTGAGTTTTTGTCTTTTTCTCTCATTTGAAATGTATTCTTTTGTTTCTTCATTTTGTTTGACTCACTATGTTTGTTTCTATGCATTTGCAAAACAGCTGCCTCTCTTAGTCTTGAAGGAGTGGTATCACATAGGCCAGTGATGGCGAATCTTTTGAGCTCGGCATGTCAGCATTTTGAAAAAACCCTAACTTAACTCTGGTGCCGTGTCACATATAGAAATTTTTTTATATTTGCAACCATAGTAAAACAAAGATGTATATTTTTGATATTTATTTTATATATTTAAATGCCATTTAACAACGAAAAATCAACCAAAAAAATGAGTTCCTGTGTCACCCCTGACACGTGTGTCCTAGGTTTGCCATCACTGATAGGCGATGAACCTTATCTTTCAACCTTGACCTAGTTCTTAGTTGTCTCTTGAACCTTTGTGATTATGTAAGTAGTTTGACCTCCATAGAAATCTGAAGGTGTCTCCTGGCTGACAGTTGTAAAAATTGGGACTTCAGACAAGTGTATAAGCTCCTTTTCAGGAGGTACCGAGAGCTGTGGCCAGGCCAAGAGAGGGTGGAAAGATGATATTGCTCTGCCCACATTCTCTAAGAGTGCCTCTGTAGCCTCTGGATGTGTGACAGACTTTAAGCCTGTCCCCAGGTTGATGCTCTAGGACAAATAAATGGACCTTTCCCACACACAGACGGGATATGCTAGAGTCTGCTGTCTGTGCAGCACCCTGGGTGTGGTAGCTTGCCTAGAACTGTCTTTTTAATTGTTACAGTCACATGGGTCCCAGGAATGCAGGCCTCTTAGGCCTCCAGGGCCAGGAAATCAAGAGATGGCCCCTCTGTGGATGGCACTTGCCCAGCAGCTTCAGTGAGACTGCTGGGGAGTTGTAGACAGAAAGCAGGGCCTGCCCACAGCTTTAGGTAGAGGGATAGTGCAACAATGGCACTCACCAGTGCCTCTGTCCCCCAAGAAAGTCCCAACTGGTCCCTGACCCTCTGGTAGATGATTTAAGATTAGCAAAGGTATCCCCTTCACATATAGTCCAGGCGCCTCTCAAAGTGCTTTGTGCTGAGTCCCAGAACAAGTGAGCCCCTGTGCAAGCCCCTCCAAGAAAGTATGTCAGGTCCCCACAGATCCTTGGGTCCTCCGGATGTAAGCCCTGTTGATTTCCAAAGCCAGACATCTTTGGGGCCTTTTCTCTCCAGTGAAGGTGCTAAGGATTGGGGAGCCCAACTTGGGGCACAAACTCTTAGCTTCTCAGGGAGAAACTTGAAACCCATGAGAACCTGCCCAAATGTAGGTTGCTGTCGTGGAGGTGGGTTAATTTTAAAATGCTTTTAACCAAGATTTACATATAATTAAATTAACAGATTATTTTTGTTATTGTTATTAATTTGCTGTTATTTTTTAAAACAATTTTAGTGAAATTCCATATTTTGGAAAGAAAAACATGGTAGTCATTTCACTGACATGAATAAATATTACATATCTAAAACTATAGTCTACATATTTAAATCCAAAAGTCACCGCTTGGAAAAATGTTCAGCGAATGATTACCTTTGATCACATAGCATCATATGCGGTAATTGGTTCTGTTGTTGCCTGGGATGATTTTCTGCAGCAGTTTATTTTTAATTTTCTTCTGCAGCAGTTTTTTTTAAAAAATATATATTTTTATTGATTTCAGAGAGGAAAGAAGAGAGAGAGAGAGGTAGAAATAACAATGATGAAAAAGAATCATTGATTGGCTGCCTCCTGCACTCTCCCCACTGGGGACCCAGCCTGCAACCCAGGCATGTGCCCTTGACTGGAATCAAACCGGGGACCTTTTAGTCCACAGACTGAGATTCTATCCACTGAGCCAAACCGTCTGGGGCTGGTTCCATTTTTTTCATCATTTAATTTTGTTCACTAGAGTCCTTGTTCATTTATTTTGATTATTAGATTCAATTGTTAATAGATATGTATTTATTGCCATTTTATTGTTAATATTTTTTTATCTTTTTCCCCTCTTATTTTTCTTAAAGAAGACCCTTTCATGTAATACCAGTTTGGTGATGATGAACTCCTTTAGCCTTCCAAAGATATATGACCCCCCCACCCCCAGCATGTTGTGGAAGCAACCAAATCATTATATAAAACTTAGAGTGGCATGAAAGATACAGAGAAATCTGTATATCATGAAGGTAACATGAGGATGTGAACAAGGGATAACTCAGTGACAATTTTCATGAACTGATGACAGAGATCAGCTGGGTCAATAGTTGAGTCAACAATATCACCAATTAAATCCCATCATTTTTTTAAAGGACACAGAATGAATTATCTAATACTAGAGGCCTGATGCATGAAATTCGTGCAAGAGTAGACTTTCCCCTGGCTGCTGGCACCAGCCTTCCCTCTGGCACCCGGGACCCAGGCTTCCCTCACAGCCTCGGCTTTGTCCAGTCTAATTAGCAAATCATGCTTTTATTATTATAGATTTGTTCTCTGAGGAGTTATTTTATTATTATTACATTCAAAATGTACTTGTTTTATTTTGCACAATCACATTGTATTTCCATCTCTGATGCCCCTTATTCCACTGCACTGGAACCATCAGGAAAGTGAAACAGGAAAAGAAGGAAGTGTCCAAGGATTATCTTGTACCTTTTATCATCTTGGATCTTAGAACAGCAGAATACAGCGGATGCTGGAAACATAAAAGTGCAATGTTAAAATGATTGAATTGCTTGAGAAACAATGATTTCAGCAAAGCAATTATGCACTGTATCATGAGAGTCTGCATTGCTTAACCATGTCCACTCCCAACTCCATCTTCACCTTAGTTCACCTATATGAAATATCACCACACCATCTGATTGGGATATCTTTCATATCACCATCTGGATCAGCCATGAATGGAAGCCCCCAGCTTTTGGCACTGTTTCTTCTGGCTGCATGACCACAAAAACATTAAAACCCTTTGCTACAGCTTCTGATAAGCTTTTTCTAGCTTTAGAATATAGTCCCATGTCTAGTTAGGGAATAAAAAATGGTTTCCCTTGGTTCCTTTCCTTTGGCAGTATGCTTACTGCTTGATAAATCCCTTCCCTCCACTCTTCATAATTTGTTCCTATAATTTCATATGAGATTCCTTGACTTTGCATTTCTGATTTAATGGCTGACATGCTAGGTCAAAACTAACAAGGGGTAGCAGTGTAAAATTTAAAAACATAGATTAAACCTATTTAAACATTGCTTAACAAGTAAAGAATATAGGTGCAGTTGGAGAAGAAAGATGTGCTTGCAATCAGAATGAGGAAATCAAACCGGGGAATCAAACTGGAATCATCATAGGAGTAATCCCCCATTTATTGCTTATTGCTTGTTTTCCAATGTACCTTCAGCACTTAGGGCATTCATGGCATAGAGTGTGCCATCACTACATATGTTTTGAATGAATAAATGAATGTATGAACACAATGAGTGAATAATCTATCCCTGAAGGTGTGCTAGCTAAAGCAGACTATTTGTCAGAAATAATGCAGAAAGGATTTGTGTCTTGGGTGGAGTCTAAACTTCTGCCTCTAAGATTCCTTGTAAGACTCTAGTAAAGTCAACTCATTTATTCTATGCCAGAAGCTGGTCCACCCTTGCTGCTTGACACAGTTGCTGCAGGGAAGAAACATCTGCACAGCATATGTTTCAAGGGACCTGGTGTATATGGCATATGTTTGCTCCCCCTCTTAGCGCTATGTGTTTTAAACAGGCCCACCTCCCCGAGAAAGGTTGTTTCCCCAAGAAGGGATTTTTCCCTGGAGTTAGGGATTAACAGGACTAAGGAAGGGAATAAATCAGTAAAACCCCTTAACTAAGTGCCAGGCGGGTAATCACCTTAACTACGAACAATCACGCTTAAGCTACATAATCTTTACTTAGGATAATCTCCTTCAGTTACTTCCTTGTAGCTTAACAGAACA